CTACACAGAAGACCCAAAAAAGTTCTACCAAAAGACTTCTAGAATTAATATCCAAACTCAGTAGTAGCAGTGACAAAAATCAACATACAAAAATCAATAGCATTACTGTACACTAAGAGTGAACCCACCAATAAAGAAATTTTTAAACATACCATCCATAATAGCATGAAGAAAAATACTAAATACTGAGTAATGCATCAAAGCAAGGAAGAAAAAGATCACTACAACAAAAACTATGGTATTCTGAACAACTAGTTCAAAGAGGACAGTGGAAAACAGAAAGACATCCCCTATTCCTAGATAGCAACAACATTGTCAAAGTGGCCATACTTCCAAAATTGATATATAGATTTAATGCATTCCCAAGCAAAACACCAATAGCATTTCTTATAGAACTACAGAAAGCAATTCTAAAATCCTATGGAAACAGAAGACACTCTGAATATCTAAAGCAATTCCAGATAACAAAAGCAAAAGCAGGAGGCTTCGCAATTCTGGATTTCAAGTCATATTACAAAGCTGTTTATAAAAACAGCATGGTAGTGGCACAAAAGCAGACATCTGTATAAATGGAACAGAACAGAACATGTGGAAACAATCCGAGGCATATTAATCTATTTGAAATGATAAAGGGACCAAAACCATACACAAAAGAAAAGATACCCTCTTTAGCAAATGTTGCTGGGAAAACTGGCTATTCACGTGTAGATAACTAAAATTAGACCATAACTCTCACCATGGACTAAACTAAAATTAAAATGATTCAAATATCTAAAGATTAAAACAAATGATCTGCTGGAAGATAAAATAAATAAAATTCTTCACATCATAGGTGTAAGCCAAGTCCTTCTGAACAGAAGCATGGTTGCATGAGAAATAACACCAAAAATCAAATTGAATTCTATCAAATTAAAAAGCTTCTGCATAGCAAAAGAAACAACCAACAGAGTGAAAATCCAGCCTACAGAATGGGAAAAAAAATTTCCAGCTACATCTCAGATAAAGGAATAATACCTAGAGTATATAAAGAACTCAAAAAAACTAGAACCCCAAAATAAAACACACAATCAAAAATGAGCAACTGAAGGCCCAGGGATGTAGCTCAGTGGCTCCACACCTGCCTGGCAAGTACTAGGTCCTGAGTTCAATCCCTGGTACCAAAAGGGGTTGGGTGGGGGAGTGAAATGAACAGATACTTCTCAAGAGAAGTACAAATGGCCAATACATGAAACAAAGTTCAGTGGCCATTAAAGAAATGCAAATAGAAACAACTTTGAGATTCCTCATCTTATTACAGAAAGAATGGCTAGCAACAAGAAATTAAATAATAACAAATGCTCGTAAGGTTAGAGGGTAAAAGGAACCCTTCTACATTGTTAGTGGGAATGTAAGCTAGTACAACTACTATGAAAATTAATATGGTAACTTCCCCAAAAGCTAAAAATGGAAATTCCATTTAACCCAACTATTCATTCCCCTCATAGGTACACACTGTCCCAGAGTTAGAGCAGCACAATTCATAATAGCTAAATCTTGAAAACAGTCTGTATATCCACCAGCAGATGAAAGAATAAATATGTATTATTCTACTATATGTGCTATTCTACTATAAATAAGGATAAACTTGAGTCATATGTAGAAAAATAAATGCACCTTGAATCCATAATGTTAAGTAAAATAAACTAGATGCACAAGCTTAAATATCCTATGGTTTCTCTGCACTAAGCTAAAATCAAAATGGATTAAAGATCTAAATATTAAAACAAATACTAAACTTGCTAGAAGATAAGTTAGGTAGAACTCTCGAAGGCGTTGGCATAGGAAAAGACTTTGTGAACAAATACTCAGTAGTATGTGAAATAGCACAGAAAATCAACTATTTGAACCTCATCTTAATAAAAAGCTTCTGCGCTGCAAGAGAAACCACCAACAGAGCTAAGAGACAGCCTACAATGTGGGAAAAAATTTTACCAGCTGTTCCTCAGACAAAGGTCAACTATCTAGAATAATAACGAACTCAAAAATTAGACATGCCAAATATAAAGACCTGATTCAAAACTGGGCATCTGAAATGAACACACATTTCTCAGACAAAGAAGCAGAAATACTAAATAAACATATGAAAAAATGTTCAACCTCACTGGTCATTCAAGAGATGCAGATGAAAACAACATTGGATTCCATCCCACCCCAGAAAGAATGGTTGCTATCAGGAAATCAACCAGTAACAAATCCTGTCAGGTTGTAGGGAGAAAGGAACCCTTCTCCATTGTTGGTAGGAATGCAGACTGGTGCAACCACCATGGAAATCAACATGGAGATACCTCAAAAAACTAGGATTAGAGGCCTCATTTGACCCAGCTATCCCTCTCTTGGGTATCTTTCCAAAAGAATTAAAAGAATCATACCACAGCAATATATGTGCACCCATGTTTATAGCAACACAGTTTGTAATAGCTAAAGCTTGGAAACAGCCCAACTGCCCATCAACTGGAGACTGGATAAGGAAGATGTGCTTTTTCTATAAAATGGAGTACTACTCAGCCATAAAGAACAAGAAACTAGAGAGATTTATAGCTAAGTGGATGCACATCGAGGCCATACTCATAAGTGACGTAAATAGGACACATGAGTAAATATCGAATAGTTTCTCTGGTGTGAAAAACTAAAAGCGTAAATAAGGTTCAAATTCTATAATTGATAATGTAAAATAGGAAGAAAAGGTCTAAAGGAGAAGGAAAAGTGAGAAGGGTAGAGGAAAGGAAAGAAGGGAAAAAAAATATGAGGAAAGAAAAAAAGTCACTGTAAACAGGGAAGGGTGAAGGGGTTGAAGGGAGGGCAGGGGAATGGAGAAAAAATAAGAACCAAGATGAATCCTGTAAAAGTGCAATTTTCCAATGATGAATGTAACTGTACTGTATACCTAAAATGTACCAATAAACAAGGAAAAAAATCCTATGGTTTCTCTCATATGAGAAACTCAAAGTATAAAAAATTAAAGAGCAAAATAAAAGAATACACAACAGGAAGCAAGGACGTAGATCTTTTGCAAATAAAAAGGGGACCAAGAGATGGAGGGGGAGGGGAGGATAGAAGAGGAGAAGTAGGCATAAAGAGAATTTAGATATGTGATGTATATGACCAACTACCCACAATGAATGTATTCATTATTTACTACAAATACATACTCATAAAAAAATAAATCGATAAATAGATCCAGCAAAGTTTCTGGATACAAGATCAAACAATAGTTGCATTTGTAAATTAGCAGTGAACAATCTGAAAATGAAATTAAGAAAATAATTCAACTAAAAATACAACACATATGAAAAAAGTACCCAAGGAGGTGTAACACACTTGCACACTGAAAACTACAAAACATTGCTGAAGAAGTTTAAAGACCCAAAAGGTTAAAAGCAGGAATCAGAAGACGTAATACTGTTAAGATGACAGTGTACCCAAACTGAGCTACAGACCAACAGAAACATTATTACTTTTCCAACTCCTTTTTTGAAGATTTAAATGGAGAAGCTTATCCTGGAATTCTCACAGAATTGCAAGAAACCCTCAAAAGCCAAAACAATCCTGACAAAGAACAAATCTGAATGACTCAGAATCCCCTGCACACATACATACTTTAAAATTTAGTATTCGGCTACGGTTATCTAAACGATATGGCACCGACATCAGGACAGACATAGATAAACAGAAGAAAACAAGAGTCCAGCACTAAACCCATACATCTATGCCAGGTGATTTCTGACAAGAGCATCAGGACAATTCAGTAGGACGGCAGATCTCCTCACTAGGCCTGTGAGAGACAACAGCACACTGCCAGCACTAGCTGAGGGTGACTATGCTACAAATCCTAACCAAGCCCCTTACTTGCCATTACTGGTTTCAGGAGCTAGACTTTCTGAGTGTCTCATTTCATGCCATTAACCGTACCTAGCAGAATGTCTCAATGTCTAAACGACTTAATCCTGTCAGGTATATTTCTTGAGCACTCTGGGAATAAACCAAAGGGACTTATAACCACACATTTTTTTTGTCTGAACTCTCTCCTTGCTAACAGCGTCTGACAGATGATCAATAAGCCAGCCTGGATATTAAGAAATGCCAATCTGGGTATTCCCAGGGCAGAGCCAACTGGATTATTAGTGTGGCTAATGAATCCTGCAATGGGACATTTTCCACCACATACTGGGCTTCCGCACAGGAGACTGGCTGTTGTTCCTCGTCATATAAAAATAGACTGGGGAAGTGTTTTTTGAGCTCATTTGCAGCTGTGCCTCCTGTACTACATATACCCATATATGTCCTCTGTAGTCTGTGGGGACCTAATTACAGTGTCTGGATGGCTTCTCTACCCACACACCTGCCACATCGGACACCATTCGGTGGGAAATATCTGGGCACCGCAGACAAGATACATCTCACACTGTACACGCTGTGAGACTGAAGGATTCTTCAGGAATCAAATATTGCAATTTGAATTCTTGTTCCACATTTACAGTATCAGATTAGAAATGCTCCTTCTAAGATTAAATATACTAATCTACTGATCCTATGTAACAACAGCCTCCCTGCACTGTCTTCTTATCTCATCCTAGCTGCTATATCTATATTCTCTGACTTAATCTGTATATTTGTCTTCATTTTTAGGTAAGCAAAGCAAGGTCTGGAGAAAGACATGATTTGCTTCAAGTATTTCTGCTGACAGATGCCGGAGCTAGGTTCATCCCACACTTGTCTTACGACAAGTTCGCTTTTCTATGCCACTGGATATTCCTACCATCATTCACCTGCCAACCAGGTACTAGAGGAGCACGTACAGCAGGACCCTGGCTGGGAGTTCAAAGACACAAGCTGACATGGGGAAATCTGTAACTGCACACATACTGCAACTTCAGGGTGTCCACAAAACAGACAGCAGGATTCCCAGCACCAGAGAACACGTCGGCATCAGCAGGCCCTGCCCATGTGCCAGCTGCCCTTACCGTCTCCTGTCCCACTGGGATTGGGGGCTTCAGGAATGCTCAGAGGCCGCAGGGGAATGATGATGTCATCCACAGTAACTCCTGCATCCCTGTGCTTCTCAGAGACGTGGGAGAGCAGCTCCGACTGGTTTGGCGAGAAAAGATTACAACATTTACACATGAAAATGGCTGTGTTTTCTGTAAGGAAAGAAAGGAAAATATTTTATTCCACTTTTACATCAACAGTGATTACTCCCAATTACCAAAGCAAACACCACCGAGAGCCGCCATTTCGCCCAGTTCCCAGCCTCTAGCAGATTGTGTCCCTCTTGTGGACACCTCAGGTGGCCCTGGGTGCAAAATAATTCTTCCTTGGGTATTTCAGAGTCTGGACAGTGAGTGGCTAGCATGGGCCTCCCTCTGACCCAGTCTACACCTGGGCTCAGACCCCAGCACAGCAGAGCCAAGCACTGAAATCAAGTCCTGCCCTCGCCCAGTCAGCCACTCTGGCTGCATTCATACACCTGGCTAGACTCCCTCGCAAATCTGTGCATGGAAACACTGACGAAAACGGCATGTCTCAAGAGCCAGCTCACCTTTTACTGCCCAACACAGTGACTACAAACAAAACAAGGACAGGAACCTGTTGCTTTTTTTTAAGCCACTCAATTCCTATTTAAGCATTATCGCTGTTCACAAAATGTATTAATAGTCCATTATATTCCTTCCCTTATACTAAGCAGAAACAATGAGAGCAAAACAGTTTTCAATTTGATTAAATACTTAATAGGCACACAGGATCTACAAAAAAGCCCAGTTTTTTTGTTATTATTTTTACATTTCCACTCAAAGGATGAACTGGTGTCAGGGAAAGGATGATGGCTTTGAAGTCAGATACACAGGTTAAATTCCCAACTGCTATCCCTAAATACCTAAGTCCATGAAGCTGGGTGACCTTAGAGAGGCTAGAGTGATCTCTGGGTCACTGGAGTTGAACAGAAAGAGTAGGTTTTGAGCCTCCTCAGCAGCAGGAACTATAGCTGCTCCAGCCCATCCTGGTCCACTTTGCTGTGCCCACAGCCATGCAGAGCTGCCAGAAACCTACACCATGCTCCCTGGCTCCCCTCCACCCGCTCCATGGCCTCAGAGGACCCACCCTGTGCAGCAGTCCCACAGGACTGCAACATCTGCTCTCCATCAGGCTGGACAGGCACCCTATGGAGATCTGTCTGGGCCAGCAAGCCTCTGACCCTGCCTCCTTCCCACCTGCAGCAGCTGGTGGGGCTTCCTGCTTCCCAGGAGGCAGTGTCTCCACCACACCTGCCACCCACCTGCTTCCTGATCCTGCTGACGCGAGGGTCCACATACACAGTGGCACTTCAGAGTGAGGGTAGGGCAAGGGTCTACCCTAGAGCAGGGTCTTTTCATCACTAACAAAGTCCAGAGCTGCTGGCTTGTGGAGAGAAAAACAGATAAAGTGGCCATTCTTGCTGCCACGGTCTTCTCAGAAGGCCACTGGACCCCAGCTACGTGTGCAAAACCAGCCCTCTCATGCACTCTACAACACCCCTTCTTCCTCCTTCTCTGCATCAACGCCTCCCCCTCTGCTGGATCTTCCCCACCAGCTGGCGAACATGCTCTCCATCCTCCCAGTTTACAACAAAGATCTCTCTTCATCTGCACTCATTCCCTCACTCTCCCCACCCCACTTTTCTCCTCCTCACAGTGGAAATCTCCTGCCAGAAAGAGAAGACACAAAAAAAGGCAAAAGGCCATGAAGGCTTTGTGGGGTGAGGAAGGAACTTTGTGGCTTTGTGGGGTGATGAAAACTCAAGTCCCAGAGCAATCCCCTTTCCAGACCCACAGAAGGGGCTTCCTCATGATCAGGCAGCGGGGCAATGACATTAGGGAGTTCTCTCCTACCAAACAACACACAAAATGGAAATTTAACAAAGCAGAACATTGTTGTGTCAATGAAACTCTCTCATGAATAATGTCAATCAATATTTTTTTCCAAGAGTGTTTTACCCGGAAGGAACCCAAAATGCTTCCCAAAAAAGAAAAGTTTTCAGCAATGGGAGGCCATGTTGTTTACAATACCATTCCTGCATCAATCCTGTGACAACAGGAAAGGCTCTGTAATCCACCCAGCCCACGGGTGACAAACTGGGGCTGGGGGAAGAGAAGCAAATTGCCCAGTCATAGTGGGCAGGGAGCAGAGGCTAGACACTGTCACCCGGTTTCTCACACAGATATGTTTGGCTACAGACCACGAGCCCACTGAGTTCTCCAAGCCAAAGCCAAAATACTTAGGTCTGTATCCCTCAATGTCAAAATGAAACTTGTTAACGGAGAAGAACACAGTTCATATTCACATATCATCCTCATGCCTGGTCAGTGATGCAGAGCAGGAACCACAAATCCCACCTCAGCCCTGCAGACACAAGGATGAAGCAAGGGCCAGGCCCACAAACGGAAGACCAATGTTTCATCAGGAAGACAAACACATCAAGGAACATCACAGAATAACTGCATCTGTGGTCTGTAATTTCCCAACTGGCCTCCAAGTATTCTTGGTTCCTCAAACACACTCAGGAGAAAAAGAACCCAGGGGCATTTAACACAGAACTTCTGAGGAACCACAGAGGTATTACAAGTGGTCTCCTAGTTCAAGGGCACACCACACATCACTTGGACAGATAAATAAATGCAACCACTTTTGCATCTATGACAAAGTGCCAGAGACTGCTGGGAATAAATGAGCACCCCATTACACCAGAGCCTAAAGCCTCGGCACCCCAGGCAGCACCTGGCCTTGGCCACCTTTTGTCACCTAGCATAAGTGTCCCCAGTGCGTGCTGCATGCAGAACTCTGTCAAGCAGAGGATAGGGCCTGGGGTTCTGAGGTGGAGGCAGAGATGAGCACTCAGACCCAAGACGAATCACACAACCGCAGCCATACAGTGTGGCCCTGAGAAGGGGTGCAGTGCAGAAGGCCTGGAAAGGGAGAGAGCACCACGGGCAGAAGAGACTTCTCAGCCAGCAAATGGCTAAAGTTCAGAGATGCAAGAAAGCAGGCAATATGCAGACAATGCAAAAAATCAGACAAGCATCATGGCAATGGGAAGGTGGGCACAGGGTAAATGAGCAGATCCACTACCCACATAGGGCCTGTGTGCACAGGTGCAGAGCTCCTGAGACCGGGCACAAGCACTGCAGCAGGGACTGGCAGCTCCTGCAGGAGCCAGAAGCTCACGATCAAAGACAAGCAGCAGCTGTGGCTGGAAGGTCCAGCAGACGAGGCCTTGTGCTAAGTGCCCACCCCGAGCCCCCACACCTGAGCTGCATCTGCTCACTGCACACCTGCCCCTGAGCCCCACACAGTCCCATACCAGACCCTCAAGAATGCGCAGACCTCAGTACACCTGTGCAAGTGGCCTGGGCTGAAGAGACGAAGGACAGAGTGCACTGGTACCTTGGGTGAAACTCTGATTGAGGAGGCCTGTCCAGTGCTGAAAACAGAGAAGACCTGAGGTGCAGGTGTGCAGGAAAGGAGTCAGGCCAAGCAGCCAGGAGGCCACCTCTGATCAGACGTGAGCAGCACAGAGAGGGGAGATGCAGGAGCTGGTGGGCTTTGCCTGACTTCTGACCATTTAATCTTGTCTCTAAATACGGCATGTCCCAGAAGTCTAAAGCAGAGTGCACAGTGAACACAAGGCCTCCTGAACACAAGGCCCCAGACACGCGAGTGACTGTGTGCTTCTTGGGGATGTTCTGAAAGCAGCATGCAAACAGCCAAATGCCAAGGCACACAAAGAGGGCTCCAGGTCAGGCCACATCCCCCAAAAGAGGAAGAACCGTTCATCTGCCAAAACAACAACACAGAGGCCACATTCACTTCTATAGTGACTAATATGAAAAATGTATCTGTACCCTGAAATACATTGATAATTATGTTGTTAGCCAATTCTGATGAAGATGCTATAATGTGGACACATTTTTAGGTCCAATTACTGTGCTCTTATCCCTAACAAAAGAATTCAAAGGGGAAATGATGTATCAGCACAAGGAGAATCATAGCAGTGTGTGGTTTGAGCACACAATTCCTATGAATCATCCACCCGTTTTTAAACACTATTCAAAAGGAACACCGTAAGACAACTACATAAACAAAACCTCACTTCTGACCTCCAGTCTGCAGAACAATCAGGTCCTATCTGAACCTCCAGCCTCCCTACCTGTCCTGGGGACCCAAAAAGAAACAAGGGCTTGGGAGCCACATGGAGCTGGGTGGCTACCTCCTCACACCACACCACCCCTGGCCCTCCAAGCAGCGGGACCAGTGAGGAGTGGAGCCACACGGGCACCTATAGTATCACCACGCCAGTACCACCTGCCCCCAGTCCTTGGCCTCCTGGTTGTACCAGTACCTGGATCCACACTGCAGAGACACAAGGAGTCATAAAGGCTATTGTCCTGAGCTCTCGAAGACAGAGAAGTGAACGACAGAAAGAGGGCCTCTCTCAGGCTCCCTGATGAAAACTGAAGCCCACTGGAAAAGTGAAGAGAATCTCTACAGTAAAGGCACACCAGACCACCATGATTGGCAAGTTGGAGGGATCGACATCTCCCATCGGAACCTGGACTATCCTCAGGGGAGGGGCAGCTGGAACCTGCAGTAGAACCTTGCAGGGTTCAACCTGTAAGAGGTCAGGGAGCTCAATCTGTGTGTTGCAGCCAGAAATCAGCCTGAATCTGAGGGGTCTGCTGCTGGCTTGCTGAGACTAACTGACTTAGATCTGCACACTGCTGCCCACGTTGTCTATTGTGACAGCAGAGACAATCCCTTAAAGAGGCTCTTCATTTTTATTTTTTATTTTTTAAATTATTTTTTCCTTTCCCTCCTATTTTCTATTTTTTTCTACTCTTTGCAAATTCTTTTTTCCTTTGTTCTTTTTCTTTTTTCTTCTTTTCTTTCTCTCTCTCACTCTCTTGCTCTCCCACATTGTTCTTCATCTCCTTCTTTGTTCCTGTTTCTGCCTTAATTTGGATTTCTTCTTTCTCTTTTCTTGTCTCTTTTTCCTTTTCTTGATTGTCATTAGTTTCAAAGGAAAGTGAGTACAGTTTCTAGCTTCCCTATGGCTGTTAGGTTGTTCTATTCTTGTCTTTGTTCTTCTATTCTGTCTTTTCCTCTTGCC